TTTCCTGTCCTCAATTGCCTTCACATCCAGTCTCAATCCTCAAGAGGGGCCCATTCCACCTCTGTCATCAAGACGAGTCCACCAATCATCTGCCCATTGAAACAGCAACCCCTGCGCTTCACAATCCGACTCGTGTGCATCACCTATCATCTAGCCTCTGCTGGGCTGGGGGACAAATAGGTGGGGTGCCAACCTAACACAGGAGAGGATCATGTTCCCTTTACGCGGTTGCTTTTGGCTCAGTGAGTACTCGGGGTAGCGTTAGGAGGGTCTTGCTATAGATGGCCACCTTAGAGTGGTGATGAAAAGACAGTCCTTTGGTCTCTGAGTCCTATGGGGCACCGACAGTATTTCCCCCAACTGCAGATCTATACTGCCCTATACATCTTTGTACCAATGTGAAGAAGTTCTACACAGGGTCCACAATGGATTTTAGTAGAGGATTTAGCAATACTGCCCCTCCTACCACTAGTAGAGAAAGAGATCAACCCAGACCAAGGGAGAGCGTACAGACAGGAGAGAAAGGGGCAATGGAGGTGGGGACTGACAGACTGACTGACATTCCTCACAGGACTGACAGCAGACTCTTCTGCACAAAGTGGCTTCGGACACATGTCGCATCTTGAAGGGACGCTGGACCCATTTTCCAGCAGGTGCAGCTCGCACAAATAGATGGAGCCTCCAACGCAGAGGACCTGTTAAGGAGGCTGCTCTTATCAACTCGTCAAGTGGAAACGCCCATGCAACGAAGTTTCAATTAAAAAAACAAAAGTTGAGAAAACAAAAAAAAAACAGTGCTGATACACTGCTGAAAAGTCGAATTAGACTCAATTAGTACACCTCCTGAAGAGCTGGCTGGTGAGCTGCTTTTTTTTTTGAGGGAAGTACATTCATGTCACAAATGAGTTTCATAGGGGACAAAAAAACACATGCGTCGCAAAAGAAACCAGGCACGAGTTCGAAAAGGGCAATGGAAGTACCGCGGCCGTGGTGTCGGATCGGATGTTATATTTACAGGGGTCAGCCGTGGCGTCAGAGCGGGAAAGAAAAAATAAAAAAAAAGCCCAACGGATACTTTTCAACCAAAATTGCCGTTTCAAAGTCGGCGCCTGATTTCTTAGCCAGCACGTGTTTTTTGTGCCTTTACAAACTCCAAACCTGCCGCGTCCACCGTTGTTTTTTTTTTCTTTTCTTTACTTTTTTCAACACCCGTAGAGAGGCTGCTAATATTAGAGGTGATAAGAGCCTCCAGTAGTAGGCCCCTGCTTGTAGATGGCCCCAGTCTATTGGTGGGGAGCTGCACCTGCTAAGCCGGGTCCAGCGTCACATCATAAGATCAGGGACTATGTTGGTCTTTGGTTTTGATGAGCAGCATTGGTTGCCCTCTCGCAACAGGATTGACTGCCCATCGGATGTAAGAACGGACTCATCACCATCCCACTCCTCTGACAGTCCTAATTCAGGACCGCCATGCCCCTGTCACACAGCGAAGTTGAGCGAACCCATTTGAATCCATTTTATATGCCATTGGAGGGATGGCTAAATGCATCTAGGATGCCGCCATGATTATTTTTTTATTTTTTTTTCCAATACCAGGGTCCAGGCCTTGCTCCCCATGAGACCAAACGCGCACTGCTTTTGTCAAAGTTTCCCTATGCATTGCCCACTCCCTCCATCCTACCTCAGTGTCTACCACTCAGGACCATGATCCATCTACTGGCAGGATGACCTGACGCTGGCTTCTGAGCATGGTTTGATCCTTTTGTGTTTTCTTTTTTTTTTCAGTGGAGAGAGAGAGAGAGAGAGAGAGAGAGAGAGAGAGAGAGAGAGAGAGAGAGAGAGAGAGAGATGGATACATTCAAAATGTTGGACTCGTTGGACTGCACATGGTCCAGAAAGTGTCCAAATGCATGTAGAGTGTTGTGTCGTGGTGAGAGCCCCCTTCTCCACTTGCAGCAATCGCATTTTAGCGAGCTGTACAGACTGTCTGAGGGTTCACCTTCGGATGAGCCCATGAACGTCCAACGAAACAGCCTGTCGCACCCCTCCATCTCTTGTCCTTTTCTCCCTTTCTTCCAAGGGTTCAGCCATCAGTTCGTGCTTCTTTTTTAGACCATTTCTCAATTTATGTGTGTCATCCTCTTCATCACAATATCATATAATCCTATAATATTCTTTTTAATTTTTCAAATAAATGGGTGTATATCAAGAAGCATCCCCACACGGAAAGGAATTCCTGACCATAGACTCCAGGGGCCTGGACCCATTAGCCAAGTATTCTACCGCTTCGTTCAGGATTTCGATCACGAGTGGCCTCGAGTGACACAGTACAGCCGTCGAATAGATCGGATCTCGACGGCCTGGTAGTTTCCGAGCGGGACTGTAAAGATGCCCACCTCCCGTCCAATGATATGCGTCGAAAAAAACAGACAAACAAAGCTGGACTAACTTGGACATGATAGCTCGTGGCTTTGCGTGGGCGGGAAGTCTGGATTTTATGGGCTCTTAAGGGGGGGGGGTGATTTCCAGACTTCGTTTTTTTTTTTTTTGGCTCTGAGAAATAGAACTTGAAATGTGAAATTCAGATATCGTGGTGGATCTGACAGGAACGCTTCCGCGTCTGTCGGATGGCCTGTTAGAGGCATCATGAGATACTTGGGGATGACTGTATCCCTATAGACATTACTGGTTCATCCTCGTGGCTGTGTTCGTGGACACATTTTATTGCCACGGTACATTAGTATGAAGACTTACGTAAAGGATATCGTACCAACCCATGAATTCGGGTGCACAGCTGTTCTTCATAGTTATATGTGCTATTTCAATTCATTTTAAATTAAAAAACGATCCATTCATGCAAATAAAAAATCACTTTGTATTTTCCAAAAAACCATAAAATTGTGTCACACATCGTAGAATGCTTCGCTAGTGGGTCCAGGCCCCAGGGGTGAGGTCCCACAAGCAAAGGGGATTGGATTGAATGCCTGAATCTGGACGTGTTTGTGGAAAGGTGCAGAAAATTGGGATTGATCTGCTTTTCTGCATCTCTGCATGAAATGTATCCACGTTCAGCCACCTTTTCTCTTTTGTTTAATTATTAACATATAGTCTGAGTGGTATCCATGCTGTGTGCTCTAGCTTTTTTTTCCATGTGCCCTAGGAAACTGAGAATTAAAATTAAAAAAAAAAAAAAAAAAAGGAGAGAATTATTTGACCCAGCTTTAGGTGTTAGAGCGGAGGTGTCCATTTACTCCATGGTATAGCAATTTTGGGCTTGGTAAATTTTTTTATTTTATTTTTTTGGTGGGGGAGGGGGGGAGGGGGGGAGAGGGAGGGGTTTCCATTGGCCATTCTAAGTTCTAACCCATAATTCGGGTAGTAATGGGTGTCTGGCTGGTTTTAGGTCGGGTTCGTCAGGTTTTGCAGGACTTGCCTGCTTGGGGAAAGTAGGTAGGTAGGCACTGCATATATTGACAGAGCGTGGGAGGTATCAGTACAATGATATTTCAATGGCAATGCAGCAGTAAATTCCAGTAATTGATAATAACTAGTCAAGATGGTTTTCTGTTCTTTTTGTTCTTTTGCTTACAAGCAACGGCCGTCGGCCTTAGGATGTCATCGTCGAACTGACCTGGCAGAGCTTTCAATAATTTCAGTCATGGGTCTTTCTTTTATATTATTAATTAGCAGTAGCTCCACGTAAAGTCTCTGAGGATCCTATCACAGACATCATATGTTGGTTTCCTGCGGATTGCCCTCTAATTGAATTTAATAATTTTAATTACTATTACTTACTATCTAGAAAGTAAATTCATTATAGCTCTATTTGGATCTATTCGGAGCCAAACCCAGGTCTGTATTTCAACAGTTCATGGGTGTTACCAACCGAGCTACGCCCATTGGTCAAGATGGGAATTTCACCAAAAAACGTTTCTGAACCTGCAGCCAGAGAATTAAGAGAAGCCTGGGATAGAACAGGAATATATATATATATATATATATATAGATAGATAGATATAGATAGATAGATAGAGAGAGAGAGAGAGAGAGAGAGAGAGAGAGAGAGAGAGAGAGAGAGAGAGAGAGAGAGAGAGAGAGAGCCACCACCTCTCTCTCTCTCTCTCTCTCTCACCTGTGTGTTCTTGAATAGAACACCGACCGGTTCGAAAAGAACATATGCAGGTATTATTCGAACAGAACATACGTGCGTACTATTTGAACTTGGGNAGAGAGAGAGAGAGAGAGAGAGAGAGAGAGAGAGAGAGAGAGAGAGAGAGAGAGAGAGAGAGAGAGAGAGAAGGAGGGGAGAAGGAGGGGAGGAGGGGGGGGGGAGATAGACTGAAGCAGGATACAAAACTGGCAGCATGGCTTCACATTGTGAAGAGTCGTGAGAAAGACATCCTTCAGCACGACAATGTTTCAACCACAGATTTCCCACCATGGACATCCATTGTACTCGCCTCATAAAAAATAAAGAAAAGTTTTGTCACACCATGGCTGTGACAAAAAGACAATGTGTACAATCCATCTACCAAAAAAAGCGACCGACACAGCACCGCAGGTTCTACAAACTGACGTCCCATTATGGACACCCATCCAACTTAGCAGATGAAGGATATTCACAAAACTTGAAAACTGGCAGCTTGATGCACTAATCTATGTGCAGATGGTGGAACACAATTCACAACACTACTGTCGCTATTCCGAACCGGATGTCCGCGATTCGTTCAACATGCGCGTCACTCCAGGTTCGTGCAGGCTACGAATGGCGTTGGCAAGGATGACATAGCCTTTCTCCATCTTATCAAAGCCAATGGTGGCAACCCTCTCACAAGCTGCGATATCCTTGTCCTCAGTTTCTCTGTGGACTTCCAACTGTTTCAGTGCAACGTCACGAGTTGCATAACACCTCATCCTAGTGCACTCACAGTCGGACCTTGTGACCGCAGCCGTGTGGTCCCGCATCGCCTCCGTCACAGCCTTCATGCTTGTTTCACGAGCGTTCAAATTTGCCCGCTTGCGTTTCCCAAGGGTGGCTTTGAATGCAGTCGACCGAGAGGCTAGGGTGCCACTTTGGGATCCTCCACCCACGTCCTCGCTAACATCCTCCGTCTCATTGCCCCGCCAGCCCCGTGGTTGCCCTCTTCTCGCCATTCATGTTTGGCACCGGAGTCCCTCAAATGAGACAAGTTTATGGAGTCATTGTCCTTCTCCACAACGTTGATTGTATCGAACCAGGCACGCCTGATGACAAAATCAAAATTGTACCTCTTTCTCTTCATCTGGTTCATATCCCAGTAGCTTGGGAGGCCCGACCACCCTTCCTGGATCTTAAGACACTGGTAGAAGTCCAGCACTTGACTAAACTTCCCCTTGCACTGTTCATGATCGCGATTGTAACCTCTTTCCCACATCCGATCTTCAACGACCTTCCAAAAACCGGCCTTTGCGCGTCCCCTTCCCATCGCCTCCGTTTCCTCACCAAGAAACGTCTTCGCCTCATTGCGTGCTTGGCAAAGCACCGTGGTTTCCTCCTCCCCCCACCTGTCCATGTTCTTCGGTGTGTTCGGTGGTCTTCGACGTCCTCGCTCTGCACGCTCCCCAACGGATGAACCACCACCTCCTGCGATGTTGCTCGGACTGTTCGATGAACCACCCACCACGGCGACCAGGATCACCACATTGACGTTGCCACTGCCTGGTGTCGGGGGGCGTGGGGACAAGCGTGCGGCTGCAGTCATATTGTGACTCCCACCACCACCAACCTCCACAGGACCGTCCGTGGGAAAGACCCCGGCTTCTATGTCACTAACAAGACGGTTGATGATGTAGTCGGATCCCAGACTGTGCTGCACACTTGAATGGACATTGGAGCTCTCTGACTGCGGTGTCGCTCTGTCTCTCACCCCTGGGCGAGGCAACATAGGTGAAGGGGTGGAACTTCCACGATTGAACGATCGGGAAGGCTCTTTGCCACAATCGATTGATGTAAGAGGTGATGTTGTGGGGCTGGCAGTGCGAGCCTTCGCCACATGAGGAGACTGATGCAGAACCTGCCCACCGCCTACCACAAACGCACCACGTGGCTGCCCCTCCACCATGGCTATAGCACGCATCCTAAGCTTCTGCCAGAGGGAATTTTCATCTCGTCCACTCACCGCATAACTTAATCCAGAAACGGGATTCCGGCTCTACCTCAATCTGGTGGTAGACGAATTTCAAATCAATCTTCGTAAAGTATTTGCAACGCTGCACACGATCCAGCAGATCATCTATCCGCGGTAACGGCTCGACGTTTTTTACAGTTATTTCATTCAACTTCCTATAATCTATGCACATGCGTACCCCGCCATCCTTTTTAGGCACAAACAGCACAGGCGCACCATAGGGCGAGGAGCCAGGCCTCATCCATCCTTTTTCCAACAATTCATCCAGCTGGGATCGCAGTTCATCCAACTCCTTAGGTGACATTCGGTAGATGGCCCCCTTAGGAATCGAACTTCCTGGGATAATGTCTATGCGGTGCTTAATGGGTCTCTCAACCACACCGCTTGGGGCCTTTGCCACATCTGCGAATTCTTTCAGAATCTTTTCAATTTCTGGGAGCTTAGCCTCTTCCTCAACTTCACCCTCTTTTATTGGGCGCACATATGCCACGAAGACTTGGTCGTTAAAGTTGTACTTCCTGACATGACGAGCGAACGCTGGGGCACTCATACAACAATGAGATAAGCTGCTTTCCTTACCTGATTCATGGAATAGGCGGATTCTCTTCTTTCCACCCTACGGACTAGGGAGCCAACACTCATGATCCCTTAACTTTATATCCGCATCTGCAACTTCACCCCAATCCATTCCTAAAAGAATGTCCAAAGAAAGATTATCGTCCACCAAGAGAGTTAGAGAGTGGAGAACGCGTTCCACCTTCCCCTCTGCTTCGAGCCGGAAGTATATCTTAACCCCTTCAACATATCTATCCATCACATTTACTGTACTATTAGCTAATTTACTCACTACGGGCTCAACCCATTGCTTTACCTTAAGCCCGAGACGCAACTTTTGCAATCCTTTCTTACTGATATAGCTGCAAGTTGATCCACTATCAATCATACCTCCAACTCTTACTTTATTCACTTTTAGATCTGCAATTATTAATTGTCCTCTTCGTTTCTTCATCTCAGTCCAGGCTTGGCGACGAGCGGTCAACTCATCACCCATGCCAGCGAGGGATCCACCTAGAGAGGTACACACTCTTACCACCTATGGACAGTTAACTAGGTGGGGACTGTCTTCCTCTTCAGTCTCTGCCAGTGGAACCTTCGGATGGGAGGATGTCTTTCTTTCTACATCCGAAGTTCCCGTAGAGGCAACTTAGACCCCTACTGGCTGTTCCCTTTTAGTATCTTATAGTCTGGACAGTAGGGAACAATGTGGTTGGGGTCACCACATTTGCGGCACTGATCGGCGGCTTTCCTTTCTTGCCAAAATTTCTTTGTGATCCCTACTTTCTTCCAAGGCTCCCCTTCGGGCAAGCTTGGATGGGGTGGATATGGTTTGTCCCATGTACCATACCACGCGCCTCGTCCTCTTCCCCAGGTAGAATATGAACCACGGCCACCTTGTGAGGGACCATTGCCCCTTCCACCCACGTAGTAGCTACCTTCGCCACCACCCCTTTGGGTACCGGGTCCTCTTCCACCGCATCCGCGGCCTCCTCTTCCTCGGCCACGTCCTCTTCCTCGGCCACATCCTCTTCCTTGTCGCCCTCCCCCGCGGGTTGCAACGGCTGCATAGTCCCCCTCCTGAACTACCGTGCTGTTGGGTCCTCCCTCCATACCATAATCTATTTGGTCATAGGAAAGAGTTTCAACACCTCCTTCTTCAAAGGTCAGAAAGAGGTTGTCTTTCCCAGGAATATTCCCTGAGATGGTGCGGTTTTGCCATTTCTTCCCCGCTTGCAGATCTCTCCAATAATGGCAATAGTTAGCTTCAGCCAAGAAGCCAGCATGATATATGGCGATCTTGCTGAACTTCTCGTATGTCATCCCCTCTTCCTTTGTACGAGAATAAAGTTGAGTATGGAGAGGGTCAGGCAATGCTCTTGCGAAGTTATTGAGGATTTGAGTAGGAGTCAGTCCATGTTCAGCGCATTGCAAGAGTTCATCCATCGTTGCTTTAAGTGCAGACGCACTCTTCCATTTCCGATCCGCAATATTTAAAATCAGCATTTCAGTTCGGCGAGCCAGATTCTTATCTTCAAATCGTTCTCTTACTGCCTTAAAGAAATCTTCGATCCTTGTTCGCTGTGAGTATGCAATCATAGTATCGCAGTTAGATTCTTTTTGCAACGATATGGCGAAGCTCATCGCATCGTCGGCCATGCACGAGGTGGCCATCAGAACTCTATCCCAATACGGAATGCGCTGACCGTATACATATGACTCTACGGCTGCAATCCAATGAAGGACGCTCTCCTCTTTCTTGCCAGTGTAAGTCCACAACACCTTAACCTTCTATTTTTCTGACATCAGTGTCTTTATCGTCTCGCAGCACTCCTTTCCCTTTTCTATCACGATCTCCTCCATCTCCGTCTCCATCACCGCCTCCTCCTCCTCCTGCGCCGCTGCCACGGATTATCTTATCAATTACGACGGGAGTGAAGGTTTGTGTGATGTGATTATCTAATTTCTGAATGTATGACTGTATGTGCTGATCAACGTCCTTTGCAGACTTTTGTAGAAAGGTGTTCCAGACTCCCTCAAACTCATACTGGTGGGTCTCAACTTTCTGCAAAGTTCTATTCATTGCCTCCAACTCCTGCTTCGTATGTAAGACTGTTTCTGTCAGGAGGGCTAATTTCTCTTCTGTGGCAACCTGTTTATCTTTCTGATCTTGCAGTTCTTTATGCAGCCCCGTACCCTCTGCTTGCAACCTTTTTCTTTCATCAAGCTCTTGCCGCTTTGCTGCTAATATTCTCATATGCAGTTCTGCACGCTTTTCCTCTAGCAAGAGTTATTTTTCCTTTTGATCTTTGATAGATGCCAACTTCGCAACGAACAGATCCCTCTCCTCATCTGTTTCTTCAATCCTATCGTTGGAGTATGCATACTGGTCGTACGAGTCCGGCGGCTTAACGTGGAGTCCCCCACCTGTCTGGCTTGTCTCACCTCTTTCTGCCCGCCGCTTGGTGAGCCTGTCATCGGCAGGTTCATCTTCTTCTTCAATTGTCTGCAGTTCTTCTTTCAACTCCCTTTCTAACTTTTCTCTCATTTCTCTCTTCATTCTCTCTTCTTCTATTTGCACTTTCTTCTTTATTTCTTCTTCTTTCTGTCTTTTTCTTTCTTCTTTTTCTTTCTTCTTTTCAGCCTGGCGGCGTTCCACTTCAGCCTGTTCTGCAGGCGTGGGCCCTGGCTTCACAACACCAGACCTCATCATAATTCGGGAGGTGCAGATTCTCCCGAAACCCAGGGGAAAGAAGACTCTGAAGAGGGGCCCCAACAAGACAGAAAGGGCCAGAAATCCTTGCATGGGATAGTCGTCCATGGTGGATGACAGCATAGGTGATCCTCCGCCTGTCCACCAGGAGACTACCCCCAAGCTACTACTGAACTTTGTCTAATGTGGATGGGATGCCCTTTTTTTTTTTTTTTTTTTTTATTTACGCTGCCTGTCTCCTCCTTAGTTAGGACTTCTTTTTCTTTCTTCCTGATCTGGCTGTTTCTTTTGTATTAACCTTCGCTGTTTGTCCCCCTTGCGCAGGGAGAAGCTGGAGTCTATACTGTGTCGGATGCCTGGGCTGTACTTCGGTCACACAGACTACCGCTGCCCAGATGATTTTGCCTTATATCATGTTTGCACCCTGACGTGGCAATCAGCCACTACCAACCAGCGCTCTCCTCCCTTACTACCACCTCCTACAGATGTCAAACCAGAGGGGTAGAAGAGAGGACCAGACATGACTCTGACCACCTTTAACACTAACGTGACCAGACACTTGTATCCTGACGTTCAGACCTGACCAGACCTCGGCTAGACCAGACAGCGGCAGCAGCGACCACCAGAGAGGAGGAGAAGTAGAGGTTCAACACACACACACTAACGTGACCAGCTGGCAGTGCGCGATGCCTTCGCCACATGAGGAGACTGATGCAGAACCTGCCCACCGCCTACCACAAACGCATCCCTTGGCTGCCCCTCCGCCATGGCTATAGCACGCATCCTAAGCTGCTGCCTGAGGGAGTTTTCATCTCGTCCACTCACCTCATAACTTAATCCAGAAACGGGAGTTCGCGGAGAGGACAGAAGAGGCGGCAGTGTCACATCAGACGTTTGCAAGGGACCTGACTGTCCGCAACTTGCCAGAGTGTACCACAATGCATGCCACGTTACCAATCACACAGATTATGAACCATCACACAGCACAAAGTAGAGATGAAAAGTGAACCAAGATGCGCAGCTCATATTATCTCCAACACATTATAAGAGTATCTCGAGTTCAAGAACCAACAGTGCAATATGCCTCTCCCTCTCATACAACCGCAATGTGGGGCCTGGCTCAACCAGCGCCACCTCTCAGCAACAAGTTAAACGCAGAACAGGTATGTTTCCACCATAGCCAACTTCGTACACCTGCCCCTTCTCTCTCTCTCTCTCCCTCAAGATCTCTGTCTCAGTTCTCTTCTCTCATCATGCATGCACACTCCTTCTACGAGAATCTACTTTGAATGCTACTCACTGAAGACTAACTACTAACCCTCTAACTACATTAACTAGTTGGGGCAGCTATGGCTGCTACTTGCAAACCAGCGCCCAACCTTCTTCTTCTCTTAGCGCAGCTTCTCCTGCCAGCGCTCACCCAGCCAGCTAGCGCACAAGTGCCTTCAGCATTTCCACGCCAGAATGCCACTGGGGATCTGTCCTCAAGGGAGGCTGGCCTGCTTCTTTATACTGCTGGGCTCCCTTTGCGAGGTCTGCATTGGCACCTTTGGGACTTCCTCAGTCCCAGACCTCTGCATGGTGTGTGTCCCAGTACTTTCCCTTCAGGGTATGCTGCTGCTGCGGCCATCTGGCCTGAATTTTGGATTTGATGCATAAATTTAGACTCTCCCTTTGACTCGAATCTTGACTGGGACTTTATCCTTTGGACTTCCTTTGAACAAACACACCTACTGCTCGGACATACACACATACTGCATGAACAGACACATCTACTGCTCGAACAGACATGACCTGCACAACCCCTGGATGAACAGATGTGACTCCCATATCTGAATATTACAACTGTTCGTCCAGGGACACAACTGTGACCTTTAGCATTGACTTTTACTTTAGTTGGGATGTGACTTTTGACCCAGAGAACATGCCTGTTGATCTGCTTTTCACGAGTTGGGGCTCTGGGCGAGTGACCCCACTGTGCTGCACTCGTCAGTCAGGGGCTGAATCGGGTAAAGGCCCTTTTACGTTGGACAAGGAGAGGGCCATCCTGAGATGGGCCCACTGTTACAGCTGGGATGGCCCATTGTCCCGAAGGACTGGGACATGGGGACCTGAGTGCCCAACGTGTCATCCTCACCGGCTTCAGTTTCGGCCGTGGACATGGCAGGAACCTCCCCGAGATTAGCACGGGGATACCCGACAAGTTCGGGCCCAGGGACGGGACCTTGGGAGTCGACAGCATGGGGAGTACCATATTGGGACTCCATGTAGCCCCAGTCCTCAATACAGGACAGTCCCGCGGGGTCATGCGTCGGTTGCATTCCAGCAACAAAAAGGCTTTCAAAGAGGTGTTTGGCAATGCACCGTTACGGTGAACAGCGATGGCGTCAACAAAGAACATTCGTATGCTGCCCGTACGAGATGTTGAAAGGCCAGACGCAGGCAGCACTGGCAGAGCACATAACGAAACGGAAAGTACAGGGACGAGCAGGAGGGAAAAACGCCAAAGATCTATGAATACAGCAAGGACAGTCCCGTCCGTTTCCACATGCGAGTTTCTTTCCTTTTTAGGAAGGCCGACGGGAGAGCCCGAGGCCAATGGCACAATTCAAATAGTAGCTTTCAAAACCAAAGTTCAAATGTGGCCGTGATTGGAGGCAAGTGCACGCGGAGGGACGTGCACATGGCACAGCAAAGCGGAACGATTCATTATTCTGTCTTTTTGCATATATGGTTGGGAGGGGGGTACGTAACGACCGAGTGTAACGGATGTCAGCCACCTACAATTTACTTTGTTGTGGCTTGCCACAGCGAAGAGACGAGGCCACAAAGTCTTGAAAACGCCCCCCCCCCTTCGAGAGTCTGGATTTTGGGACGCCGCTACAGTGTTTGACGACTTCTTGCACGGACTCCAACGCTTTTCCCTCGAACGGAATTGGCTGCCAGTGTTTCACAAGACAGGGAATGGACATCAATATCCAGGGCCACCGATGTTGACGCGCATCTGCGGTAGTGCGGCGTCACCTGCTGCCACACGTGGTCCAAAACTTAACAGCGACGAATAAACTTGGCTAGCGGGACGAGGCCCTTGGGTCCAGACTCCAGACATGACTTGTGATCTTCCGAAGTGCAAGTGCATCCTTTTGTTTTCACCCCAATATAACACCAGGTCATTATAGGCTTTATACTAGTTTATAGCTATATTTGAGACCAGTTTCATTCTATAAACAGCGAGAATGACCAGACGTTCTATTTGACATTCTATTTGGCTGTGACAGTAATCTTCTGTTTGTGAAACCGCCACTACATGACCCCATGCAGCTTGGGAACAATAAGAGGCTCTCTCCAACAAATTCGGAGGCTGGGGGCAATCGAACCAAGATGGTTAGTCCCAAAACGAAAACAAAAACGGCGAACTGGTGTTTTGGCAAAGCTTTGCGCGAAGGGAGAATCTGTGTTGTACAAAAAAGAGGTTCGGATGTACCGGTGGTTTAATGTTAGATGTGGGGCTTGTGATATAATCATATAAACCATTCTTTTTTCTTTTCTTTTCTTTTTTAAGCGTCGGCTGGGGTGCACCTCCTGCAGACAGGGATTAGAGCCCAGGCCTGTTGTAGGGTCACACCCACCTACTACTCCAGACAGGGATTAGAGCCCAGGCCTCTTGTAAGGTCACCCACGATTGATGGCTTCGACCTTATTCATGTGGAGCGGCACATGCTTGGAACCGGGCCCAGCGCCCCTTTATTTACAGCACTGTTTTCCAAGGTTACCCTGTCCTGACAACGCTGCAAACCCCGGTCCTGACTGCATAGTAATCCCCCTGTCATGACATCGGACAAAACCTGCGCTGTTGAACCCTTTCCCACAGCTAAACGCAGTTCCAAATGACACGTGCCCCGCTTTTTTCCCAGAGGGTGTTCTACTCAGTCTGCCACCTTATGGTCGTGGCCCCGTCGCCTGAACCCCGTGCCGTCTGCTCCCCCTTGCTCCCCTAGCCCCTGCACCAGGAGGGCCACTGCAGCCTCTTTGATTTTAAGTCTGTTGACTGGGCGATCTGACCTGCTCATTTAGT